AGAATCTTTTCTTCTTTCTCTCCTTTTTTCTTAATATAATTTTAAAATCAGTTCACAGTTTTATATTATGTTATCTGTGGTCTTATCGTTAAACAACGTAATAGATGTCTACGAATGATAATAATTAAGATCAAACTTATCTTTACTTAAATAAAGTTTATATAAAAAAAGGTTTTTATCTCAAAACTTAAAGTATTAAACAGGTATTAGCCATTTATAACATCGAAATGTAATACAGAAAAATAGAGGTGTTAATATCTACTGTATATTTGCATATACAATTACGTATATGATTCATTTAATATTTATTCATATATTATTTAATTTGATAAAAACGGCAAGTATCAGAAAATATTTATTTAAACTCATCCTATATAATATGCTAGCTATATACAAACATACTCTATGGTAATTTAAAATTTCCATAGATTAATAAACTTTGTATCCTTAAAAGAGAATATTTACAAAAAAAATTATATACGCCGTCATTATAAGACTTTGATGCATATTCAAGGTTTTATTATATTGTTTAACAATGTTACTAGTAATTGTCATTTGAAACTGATTAAAATCTATATTTTTATTATGTAACACTACATATTGAACTTACCATTGCTGATGACTTTTACAGCCTAGTTCTGGTAAATATTTTTGACTGTTATTGTTTTTGACTAAGATAACATTTCTGTGGAATCATTCTACAAATATAAACTATCATATGTATAAAAGAAAATTACTTAGATTCATATTGACGAATACGAAAAGTATATATATATGTATGTATATGTCTGTCTATTTGTACGATTCATTATTAAACGGATGGATGATGTGAAAACATACGAAAACAAACAGCTATCTTTTATTTTAGAAAGTATTCGGGCTGAAATAGAGTAAATAAAGTTTATATAGAGAAAATCACAGTTATCATGTACTGAAGTATCGAAAATAAAAATATAAATACTTAAAACTTAATCGAGTATAGGAGTTGGAGTTGATTAACAAAACCCTTCATAGGAGTTGATTAACAAAGAGACATTTTCCTACCGACAAAATTGTCGTGACGAGAAAAACCTGTCACAATTGTATATTGTGTTTTATATCTTCATTCGCTGTCTTTCCTCTGCTGTACAGTTGTAATATCCACCATGACTTTCAGTTCCGTACAGATTCCAGACTGGGACCTTTTAAAGATATACAAATAGACAATATCAAAGCCAAAAGTTAAATTTTTAACACTATCCTTATTGTTCAGTTTGATTAGCTATTTCAGATGTGAAGAAATGGCAACTAGCAAATAAATAATAAAATATAGAAAAATATATTTGTTTTTTTAACAGTTAATCAATAAAAATTAAAAAAGTAATGTGGGTATACAGCATCAGTCCTAAATCGAAATACAGTAACAGTAATACGTAAAGTAACTTGTTCATAAAACTGAACTAGAATATAAATAGAGCAAGAACCCACGACGGCCAGACTTACATCTTATTAGTAAGATGTATGTCTGGCCGTCGTGGTTTCTTGGGCTAAGAGTAGAACGTGAAAATAATGTTCAATTCTTCATACAATCTGCATGGTCACTTTATCAGTTTAGTACGAAAAATATATTATATTTTATTTATTTTCATGACTGTACTGCTGGCCTTTTGGTTTAGTATATGTGTAGCCTTCAAGACTTTTTCTATATAGTTATAATACAAATAATATATATATATATATATATATAATCACAGCAAATAATTTATATGGATAACAAAGAAATATTGTTATGTCCTTATTAAAAACTATAATAGATACATAGGTTTCATACTGTAGTTATATTTATTATTATTATAAACGAGGAAGTTTGTGAGTATAGATGTTTGTTACTCTTTCACGCAAAAACTGCTGAACGGATTTTAATGAAACTTTACTGTAATATAGCTTATGTATCAGAATAACATGTAGGTTATATTTTTTATTGAAATTTAATGCGGATGAAACCGCGGGCACAACTTGTATCAAATAATAGAGGCAGCCAAATTAAATAAATGTGGCCCTCCTTTTATTTAAAAAAGTTTCACATTACAGTTTCCCAAACTAATTAAACATACTTTTGTTAGTAAATTATGTTATAAATGTTACATTTTTTCTTGGTCTCACCAACCGGGGCGGGGCCGGTTGGTATTTTGCCCGCTTTGCCGCCTACTTATTAAGTTTTTTAAGTGAAAGTCTGCGTTAGAGAATTACTACTAACTTCTATATGTCTAGCGGTTTGGCACACCGCTTTACTTCCGATAGTCGCGGGTTCGATTTCTCGCACGGCGCAAACATTTGTTCATTCATGAGTGTGAATGTTTATATCGGTCTGGGTATTTTCTATCTATTTATATCAATTGGTTATATCAATAACACAGGGTTTGCTTACCCTGGAACTAGATGGTGCTGTTTATTATTATTATTACTAACTAACCCCACAAAGACCCGACATGACACGACAGTAAATATAATCTTTCACTTATGTCCAAAAATACAATCTGGAAAGGAAATAAATCCGCTATCTGGCTGATCAATAAAGATATTGTGTGGCGACAAAGGTCGCTAGATCTCAATATTTCACGTAGCGCGAGCACTCCTAATATTCTTCCGGTTGTATCTCCAAATGTATTGTTCATTTGATCAAGTTTATTAAATAAAGATCCGCCGGCAACATGTGGCCGACCCAAATCATAATATAACGCACTTATATATTTCTTTTACGCAGTTTCCCGATCGCCATTCGTTATTTATATCACTTGGACGATATTGATTCGTTTTCAAGGTAGGTGTAGTTGGATTGTGAATTTTCATCCGCCAAATCCATTTATTATTAATGAACTGTTTATGGAAACGCCTACACGAACTCGTTATATTATATTCCTTGAATCCTCGGCTACGAAACGATTTGAGAAAATGGTAAAACATTTGTTTGTAGTATATATCAATTATAGATTTACTAGCTTACCCGCGCGCCATCGTCATCACACTTATCATTATATCGAAATTTATATAATATATTTCTAGATTACAGCCTATGTGTTATTCTGATATGTAAGCTATTTTACTGTAAAGTTTCATCTAAATCCGTTTAGTAGTTTTTGCTTGAAAGAGTAACAAACATCCATACCCTACTCACAAACTTTTGCATTTATAATATTAGTACGATATCAGGACTAGCTAACTCGCGCAACTGTATCTGCGTCACATTTTTACCGTTTTTGAAAAAAAATTCATTGCTTCTATTAGTCGTACCGCGATGTTATATAACTGTACTGTATTTAAATATTTAAATAAATAAAATGCTAAATTGCGCTTCACTTTTAATTAGGCCGTTCCCGCCATTTTTACAATCAGGCTCTGTCAACTGCACAGAGTACGTTATGAACAATATTAATTATGCCAAAGCCTATATATACTACAATAACCTATGATACTCATAAGTATACTAAGATTAAATCTGCAACCATTGAAGACCTTACAAGAGAAGTATGGACGCAGAATATTTTGAGCAAAATATAGTTACGACCTCGGTGGCCTATAAATATTTGTATTCATGAGTATGATTGTTTGTATTCTCGTCTCTTCTTCATCCGTGAATGGGTGCTGCTTGTCTAGTCTGGTCTGTTCAGGTTACAAACACTGATTAGACTCTTTGCTTTTGCCATAGCATATACTGCTAATCACTATATTCTTCCAAATTTAAATTTTAAAATGATTTTGTATTATATATTGTAAACATGTACAACATTTATTTGAAAAGAATACGAGCTGAGTTTCTGCTCATCTCGAAATTATTCCTATCTGACAGTAGATTTGACATATCATAGAAGTCTGGAATAGACCTACATGAAAAAGATACTTTGAATACTGTGTATATTTCTGGTGTTAAATAATTTTTATTTTCTATTGTATTTGTATTATTTAACACCAGAAATAAATATATCTATGGATTTTTATATGTTGTCTAGTATCCATAACACAAGCTCTTCTCGGCTTGGGACTGGACTGTGTGAATTGCCCTTCTTTATTATTATAATGATATATATGTATCTGCTTCTCTCTCTCTCTCTTATCGGTATGTTTGGTAATAGTTTACTTCTTACGTTGAAACGTGCGCGTATGCACGTAGATGTACCCATGAACTTGATAATCAGGTTATTACACAGTTTGTCCAAATTTACACACATATTTAATAGTGACGCTAGTCGTAATGTATAAACGAATAAATCGAAAGTAACATTAAATATTTGTACGGGATAAACTGCGAAACTTGGAGATTGGTGGTTTGTATTCACACACTTAAACTTAAATTGTAAGTAAGAATAAATTATTTAAAAAAGCAACACACAAGTTTCTTGCTTGTTCTTCTTGTGATGAGACAGCATTCCGAATGAGCGGTAGATTAAAAAAAAAATGTCATGACTATTCAAAAGTGCGTCAATGTAAGTTTATTTGAATAAATGATTTTCTATTCTATTCTATTGGATATTTAATTTCCTGATAATACTACTTAGAATACTTTTCATTTCGAATAATAAGGATTGCGGAGTATTAAAAAAAACTGTTGCTACATAATGTTAGCTTCAATTTTATAAAATTTTACTCATTACTATTTTTAGAAATTTTGTTACATCTTAAAAGATTGTTTTTTTTTTAAGATGTCACAAAAGTGACCCCAAATACTTTTTATTTCGAATAAAAAGTATTGAGGACAATTATATAAAATATAAAACGTTTCCTACATAATATTAACTTCAATACATACATTTAGTATACTCAATTGACTAATTTATCTACATTTCAAATGTTTATTTAATATAAAGATAGAGGAGAGAAGAGACAGGAAAAAGAAAGTTGCGAGTATTGATATACATATTTTATGGGTCTGATTAATCAATTTAGAAGCCGCTGCTCTAAACCATTTACATATAATAATTACTGAAAATATAAAAAAAAATACTTAGAAATCTCCTTGTTAACAGGTCCGGTAGCTGCGTCGCTGCTGCTGACGTTATTCTGCTGCAGTATTACCATATGTGACGTCATTTTAAGGTGCGTTTCATATCTTCATATATTAAATTCAATTCAACTATTGCATTCTATTAATATTAATCTGACTCGGTGGTCTAGCGGTCTAGCACACTGCTTTACTTTTGATGGTCGCGGGTTCGATTCCTCGCACGGTGTAAACATTTGCATTCATAAGTATGATCGTTTGTATCGGTCTGGGTGTTTTCTTTGTATATTATGTATGAATTTACAAATAATATATCTAATTATTTGTTCAGTTGTTTAGTACCCATAACAAAAGCTCTGCCTACCGTGGGACTAGATAGTGTTAATTGTCCAGAGTTATTTATATTATTATTATAAGAATACTTACATACTAATATCTTATATATAAAATTCTTGTGTCACAGTTTTCGTTCCCATACTCCTCCGAAACGGCTCCCCCTAACATTTAGGCCCAAGCAATCGTGACCGATTGCTTGGCCCTAAAATTAGGCTGAATATTTTTTTTTATTTTTTTTTTTGTTATCCAAACATACATACTACTAAATAACATAATAGGATTACTATACTTATAAATGAACCCTGTATATTAACTGGTTTACATCTCTATACCTGACCATTTCTACAGACTACGCGACCAAATTAAAAACGTCTCTTTTATTTGTATTAAAATAAAACTTTTCTCGTTCCAGACAAATCCTGCGATGATGTCAGGCCGCGGGCGATGCAACTGTCAGACGAAATCCTCGCAGCATCTGTAAATAAGATTTTAAGTCATAAATTGTAAGGGAAATATAGGAAAACATTGTACGATGCCAAACGTTGCGACTCACAATATTTGGATGTATGGCTTTGTACCTTTGCCTTTCCCGTTGTCGAAAACGATAGTACTTCTGTACGTGTCAACCTAAAAGCAGTAACTAAAGGACTATGCAATTCAAGACATATAAAATAAAATAAGATAATTAAAAATATGGAACAACATGCAGACATGGCTGTATGGGCGCAATTCCCTTTGCCTTTCTTTTAAAGGATAAACTGAACAAAAAACAACTAAGGGACTGTGTTCACTTCTATTGATTAAATATTACATTCCTATTAGAAAATTATCCTATTTAAGACCTTTCAATTTGCCGTCCTGTCAAAAGTTTATCTCTGTCCTTCTAGCAACTACAATTTTACTTATTTATTTTCTTTATACTATTACTACATAATAAAGGAGTCCTATGATTTAGTTATTGCTCTTAGGTATCCACGCCTTTACAGAACTGACGTTTCGTTTGACATTTTGTTTGACATTTCGTTGTCAAACTTTTATACGTATGAAGACACCCTATCAGATTACGGTAGGCACTTACTACATATTCTCTTAGAGTCTTATGTACTTACTATTATATGTTTATATGTAGTTATTGATTTTACATTCTTAATATGTTGTATAGCGGTATGCGATTACAAATAAAAATTAAATTACATATATAAAGGTATACAAAGAGATCTGATTCAGTTATTTCAAATAACAATCTGTTTATTTTGTAAATTATTATTTTATTCCTATAAATCGAATAGTACTACAACATCATTTTAATTAACTAGAATTGGATAGTACAATAATAATCGAATAAAAATAATCTTACCAACACTACAGTATACAAAGAGATCTGATTCCGCTATCTCAGACATCAAGCTGCTTTTGTGTACATTTAAATAAACTGCATTTCATACCTAAGACTTGATTATTCGATTGCAATAATCGAGTTTGTACTAAATCGATTATTTCTAGTAATAGTAATCTACCGCTGATGTGAGTTAACAATGTCTGTTTGTTTTATATTTAGCACATAGGTAATACGATAGTCTGAGTAAAACTCACCTCTGTTTTAATTACAATTTGTATATAGCTGTGGTTTTGATTTACTCCTAATGAAAATATCTCAGACCAAGAAAAAGTCAAGATGGAACACGCTGTCTAATAAAAATGACAGCGTAAATTGCCGCTTAGCTTAAAGAAATAAATACTATCGTTTATGCTAGCATATTTAAAGTTGGTATTTTTTTACGGTAATAAGTTGACAGAAAATTTGTTAAAATTACTTCAAAACACACTGACAGATTACAAATTAAATATATTATTATTATTATTATTGTATCAAACCATTTTAAATATTTAGTCATTAGTAAATTCTATCTTATTATTAATATTAATAGTTTTCCATATGTCTCTGTAATAATTTACCCTATAATTATATTAATAAAGTATGTAAATAAATGCAGTAATTTTGAAACTCACAGGTTTATAGAAATATAGTTTCAGTTTTATTATATTAGTCCCTTATTATCGAATTACAAAATTATTGCATTAATTTATATATTTTATTATTGTAATTATATTGAGATTTTTCTTGCTCTGAGAACATGTACTAAACAATAAAAATTAATATTTCATTTATAGCAAGAATTGTTATAATTTACATTAATAGAATTTTCACTTATATTTATTGCTCGTTATAATGAAAATACGGTTATTTTTTTCTAAATAAGTTGTATTCATTTTTGACCGTAGTTAAAGTCTGAATACATATTACTTTATATTATAACAGAATTAATAATCTAACTCCTAAACATAATTTTAATAATATAATGTACACGGTGAATTTTGAAACGTAATACAAAGGTACTAGGTACTACATTTATAACAATATTATATGCAAAACTATGGATAATTATATCATTGAATTGCTTTCAACAGAAACATAATCTATACTATTCTAATAAAACTACTTTATTTGTTCCTCTAAATGCTGTATACAGTAATCTTCTGATGTATCTATTACTGTAAATGATTCAAAACTAGACTTCTTATGGAAGCGTAGGCTCATATCCTACCGGCTCTGTCATATTTGTGATTTGCGAGGGAAGTGACTGCGGCACTGAAACACAAGCTATCTGACTAACTCTATTATATATATATTTCTTCCTTGCAATGGTATACTCGACATAGACGGTGCTGTGTGAATTGTCTACTGATATTATTATTACTATAATATGTATGTCGTGGTTTAATATAAAGTAGTTTTCATCATAACTCTGGAGAACAAAGCCGCAGTTTGTAACTAGTAATATGTGAACAGTTTTCCTGCTAGATAAGTTGTTTTTCACTGATAACATTAGATATTTATTTAATTTACCTATCTGTCAGTCACATGTTATTATAATTCGTATACTTTACAAAGTAGGTACTTAATTATTCGAAACTACAAGCGTACATCTGATTTTTAATACGCACTACTGAATAGAGCTTCTCTGACAAGAACGCAGCTCTTAAATTCTGAACGAAAAACCTTATTCAACGGCCTCGATTATCTAGCAGTTTAGCATACCGCTTAACATATAATGGTCGCGGCTTCGATTCTTGTCTAGCAGCTTAGCATACTACTTTACTTCCGACAATCGAATTCGATTTTATGCACGGTACAAACTTTTTTATTCAACGTTATGATTGTTTTTATCGGTCTGTATTATGTATGTATGTATAAAAAATATGAGTTATCTAATATCCATAATACTTAGGACTTGATAGAGTCACGAGAGCTGTTATTATTATTATTAATTTTTCATAACTAAAAGGGGATAACTTAATTGAATCAATTTAAATTTGAACAAATAGATGCAGTAGTTTCGAAGTTTCGAAGAAAATACATTCTTGACCATTATGATAATAGTATATATCTAAATAGTAATAACAGTAATTGGAAGTATATACTTGCGGATATACTTGTACAATCTGAAAAAAATGGCAAAAAAATAACCATAATGAAGTGTTACATTTTTTAATTTTGTATTAGATTTATTTCTAGAAGCATAATTATATAGTAAAGAGATAACGGACGTTACTGCAAAAAGTTATAATATTATATATACTAGAACGTGCGAATATGATATGTCTCATAAGGTTTAAAATTTTGAAAAATCATTAATGAAAGAATAATTTCATTTATGATTTTATGAAATAAACTTTATATAAGCAGTTTTGAATAGTCATATTTTTATGACTCTACCACTCATTCGGAATGCAGACTCGTCACAAAAATAACAATACATTACCATAAAATATAAAAATAGACTGATTCAAATATAGATTTATTTTATCTTTTAATTTTAAAATTCACAAAGTAAGTATAATTAATGTTTCTAATTACGACTAGTAGGTACTTTAAAATAAATTTAAATTCACTTTACAGGAATGCAAATTGAATCCTCAATACACGTTATAATACAGGCTTTAGACATGATCTGAAAGTAAGTTATTTGAACAATTCCTTTGATAATTACAAAGCAGAGATTAATTCATCAGTTATAAAAGATACGTGAGTGACGTACTAAATTGGGAAGGCTGACAATTGTATTCTATTTAAGTATTACAATTTACAAGATAATACTTGTACCATAATGGAAAATTTGCTTTCAAAGAAACTGATGCATACGTATTACATTAAAAATTAAATTATACGATTTTGAATAAGTATTCTTACATTTCATAATTCTATTGCATGAAGTTTGGGACTACTTCAATCACCCCCCTCCCCTTCTCCTTCATATGACGTCTTTATAGATGTCCCCTTATGCAGCACAGAAGTTGTTTGACTAATTCTAAGGACTAATTGAAATTAAAGTTATTTAGTTAACCACCTACGCCGATACATAATCTACTTGCATCATCTAATCTCTCCACATCTGTGATCTAAAACTTGCAAGCTAAAGCAGATTGCCATTTAGGGTTGCCAATCTGTCGTTTAGGGGTACTGTAACAATACTTTTGGTCTACAATTAAATCAATTTCATACTAACTAAGCATCGGGATCTAAGGGATCTAAGCATATTTCACTATAGTCGTAATCTTGATGTGTTCAGTTAAGACTGAAAGTTTTACGATTGGCAACCCTGCTGCCATGCCGTCTGTTCAACGTCGCTTTAACGGCATTAGCAGCCGTCGACGGATGCAGTTTGATTACCATTTATGCGTCAACGGTAGGTAGCTACTACAGATATTGTATGTATGATAACAACAATACATACAATGGTATTTTTTTCAAATGCTTCAGGTACCATCTATCATAATTTATAATTTATTTATTGCCTCTCTGTTAATATATCTGTACATATATGTAGAGCTTAGTAAGCCAAGAACAAATACCTATATTTTGGTGTACAATTGTATATGTTTAAATTACAAAGTATATTAATAATATTGATTAAAATTTATTGATTATTTCAAATTTCAATTATTCAAATTTAATATGTTTTTATATTTTACTTGAGGAATCAAGAATTCATTTATAATATAAGAGCCATGTTCTTATCGGTAGAACTCTTGTCACTTCCCACGATCTTCCATCATTGCTTGATATTATTTATAAATTGTACTTAAATTTATATCAACTTTTTATCTGATTGTCACTCCAAAGTTACTCGTCGCAATGATAATTTTGTTTGAAAATCATTTTCTTTCATATATTTATCTTATTTCAAACTTTTCCTTAGAGGCAATGATCGACTGCCATTAATTTCATCTATATATGACGTTACAAGTTTTCCATCAATTACTTTAATAAATAAGCATATATTTGCGATAAATGATATTTAGTCATTGATAAGGATTTAGCTTTTCTAAATCATTACGGATCTTAATTAAATTATACATTACGATACAATGATATCACAAGGCCACATAGATCCTATGTTTTATCTCAAATAACGTGGACATAACCGTGCCTAACAGCCATCGTATAATTGTTTCAAAAGACAGAGTAATATTTCAAATACCACAGGTATATTATTGTGCCTACGCATAAACCTTTTCAAGTCCCATTTGTCCCAAAATCCTTATATGTAATAACAACAACTGGCCGTCACGTCCGTAGCTTTGTCAGACATAACAAACAGCATGTCCCGACCTGTCCCGACCT